ATCCAAACCCTCTTTCCAATCCGAAACCTTCTCGTCTTCATTGACTACTTAGTCTCACACAATTTCTTGAAGATTCGTCACTTTATCAAGAAGGGAAAAAAGACATATAAAAACAAATTAATAACAAGGGATTACAAATTTACAATATTACATCTTCTCCACTGCAATGTCTCCATTTTTGTTGTGTTCTTGCCAATAAATATGAACTAGTTGTATATTGTGGAAAACAAATTGGTGTTGCATATGTGGAATTTTAATCAAGTTTTATTCGTTTTTTTTTTTTTTTTAGTTTTTTATATTTTTATATTTTTGTGTTTTGGAATTTTTAGTGTATAGTTTATTCTTTTCATAGTGCAATAACAATGGAGGATGCAGATGGGTTGATGGAGGAAGGTAGTGCTAGAGATGAAGAGCAGAGAAAGCGTGAGATTACAAGACGCTAGGGTTTTATTTATTTATTATCTATTTCACTTTTAGTTTTTGTTTTTAATGATAATTGAAAAGAGAAATTAATAAATAAAAATAGAATCCACATGGAAAAATTCATTAATTGATATGACATGACCACATCAACTGCCACATAAAGTGGTTAGCTAATGTGGTCAACTTTGTGTGTCTAAATAGCATTACTTTCATACTTATTCTAAGCGGGGGTCGCTCTCATTCAAGCGAGGAGAGCCAAAACTATTGACGGTTAAGGTTAGGGTTTTCTCTAGTTTTCTTGATCCATTTTATGCTCTGTCTCTCTTAGTCCTCTATGATTGTCCCTCTAGGTTCTTCTTGGGTCTCATGGGTTTCACTTGTTTGTTCTTTGTGGGGAGGGCTACGTCGGCTCTTCGTGTTCCTCGTCTAGTTTACTCACTCATGGGCTCTTGGTTTGGTTTCTCTCAATCCCAGGGTTTATGATTTGGATTCGAGACCCTCCTTCCCCAGGTCTTCCTCCGATGTGGCTTGTGTGCTTTTGTTCTCAACATACAAAGTTGGGCTTCGGTTTTTGTGTTTTTTTTCTTTCTATGGGGATGTCTGATCTAGATGAGGAAGTGGCTCTTGATGATATTGACCGCTCGTTTGGGAGTGTCTGGTGCTTACAAATCAAGACGAAGCTAGAGTGGTGACTGCTAGTTCAGTGGCCTCAATTTAGATCTTGATTTGTGGTGGGAAACAGAAGTGTGTAGAAATTGACGATGGAGGTGAGCATATGATCAATAGTGGCATCGATGTTAATGGTCAGCGATGATTGGGTACAGCTTTCCAAGTCCATCCTTATTGCCCTCACATTGAGTCATAAGCCTATGTTACTTGGCTCGGCGATTTAACTTCTAGCATTCGTGCATATAAAGTGTGTGACAAAAGCATCTCTCGCCAATGTGGGACTGATACAATCAGTAGTTGTCAAGAGAAACCATATTTCTTTTCTGATAAAGATTAATGGGAAGAAATCAAATTGTTTCAACCATGGTGATTTCAGATTGTCAAAACTAAACCTCAAAACCGACATGATTCTGTTCTCTCCTTCTAGTAATTTCAATATTGTACCGTCTTTAATTGACAATCATTCATCTTTACTATTTGGAGAATAACTTGCTCCTCGAAACCAGTTACTATTAGAGTATGGATTGTGTATTAAATAATTTCTAGTACAATAACAATAAACTTTAAATAGTTCA